CGGCGGGCGTGCTGGCCGACGTGCTGGTGCGCAACATGTCTGCGGACCACGTGGGCCGCGCCTTTGGCGCCAAGGCGCTCGGCGCGTGGCACCTGCACAGCAACGACGGCCGGGCGCCGCTCGACGCGTTCCTGCTCTTCTCGTCGATCGCGTCGGTCGTCGGCAACGTCGGGCAGGCGAACTACACGGGCGCCAACTCGTACCTCGACGCGCTGGCGACGAGCCGGCGCGTGCACGGCCTGACGGCGTGCAGCCTTCAGATCCCGATCGTGCGCGGCGCCGGGATGGGCGAGGACGCGTTCGGCGAGGGCGCTCGGCGGGAGCACTTCGAGGTGAGCCTCGAGGAGCTGGTGCGTTGGCTTGCGGCGGCGGGTCTGGTGTCTCGGTCGGCGTGCGCTGCGTCCGCCCTGCTCCTGCGAGCCGCGGGCGTCGCCAAGCTCAAGGCTGGCGGAGACCTCTTCGCACCGTCGGCGGAGCCGGCGGCGGCGGCCTCCTCCGCTGCTCGGCCCTCGAGTGAGCTGGCTCTGGAGGTGCAGGCGCTCCCGGCTGCGCAGCGCCAGCAGCGCGCCGAGGAGGTGGTGATGAGCGTGGTTCGTCGCTTCTCGAGCGGCGACCTCACCACGGGCAGCCCGCTGATGGAGGCGGGCGTCGACTCGCTCGCCGCGACGGCGCTGTCCAACGAGCTTCGCGATGCGACCGGCGTGTCGCTCTCGGCGACGCTCGTCTTTGAGCAGCCGACGCCGCGTGCGATTGCGACGCACCTGGTCGAGCAGCTGACGGGCGCGAGCGTGCCGGCGGCGGCGGCGGCGGCGGCGCCGCGCGTCGCGGGCTCGCAGACCGACGCGAGCGTGCGCAGTCTCGCGGGGCGGTGGCCCGGCGGGTGCCGCTCGAGCGCGGCACTGTGTGCGTTGCAGCTCGCTGGCGGCGACGCGGTGGGGGCGGTGCCGTCGTCTCGTTGGGAGCTGTCGTCGGCGGTGGACGTCTCGCTGCTGAGCGAGGTGCAGCGGTCGTGCGTGTCGCACGGCGGCTTCGTGGCGGGCGCGGCGCACTTCGACGCCGCCTCGTTTGGGGTGTCGCCGGCGGAGGCGGCGGCGATGGACCCGCAGCAGCGGCTGCTGCTCGAGGTCGGGTACGAGGCGCTGCACGGGGCGGGCGCGCGCCGCTCGTCGCTGCTAGGGGGCGGCGAGGGCGTCTTCGTCGGCATCGAGCGGCCCGACTGGGCGCTGCTCTCGTCGCTGCGGCCCTCATCGGTGTACGACGTGACGGGCGACACGATATCGGTGGCGTGCGGCCGCCTCTCGTTCGTGCTCGGCATGCAGGGCCCGTGCATGAGCGTGGACACGGCCTGCTCGTCGGCGCTGGTGGCGCTGCAGGGCGCGTGGCGGTCGATTCTGAGCGACGCTTGCGACGGCGCCATCGCGGCGGCAGTCGGCCTCAAGCTGGTGCCGCACCCGACGCTCGGGGCGGCGGCGGCGGGCATGCTGTCGATGGACGGGCGGTGCAAGACGTTCGACGCGGCCGCCAACGGGTACGTGCGGAGCGAGGGTGTCGGCGCGGCGGCCGTTGCGCGCGGCTCGGCGTCGACGATTGGCGGCGTGGCGGTGCGGCAGGACGGGCGCAGCGCGAGCCTGACGGCGCCGAACGGCTCCTCGCAGAGAGACTTGCTCCTGGAGGCGGCGGGCTTGGCGGGCCTCGTTTCTGCGGGCGCGCTGAGCGGCGTGGAGGCGCACGGCACGGGCACCGCCTTGGGCGACCCGACCGAGGCGGGCTCGCTCGCCTCGGCGTCTTCGGGCGCGGACGGCGGGGTGCTGACCGGCGCGGCCAAGGCGAGCATCGGCCACGCCGAGGCGGCGTCGGGGCAGCTTGGCTTGCTGCGCGTCGTGGAGGGGCTGCGGTCGCAGTGTGTGCACGCGAATGCGCAGCTGCGGCGCCTGAACCCGCTCGTGGCTGAGCGAAGCAGCGGCAGCTCGCTGCTGCTGCCCACGCAGGCCTGCACGACGCGAGGCGCCGCGTCCGGCGTCTCATCGTTCGGCTACAGCGGCACCATCGCGCACGCGGTGCTCCGTTCGTCGCCGGAGGCAGCAGCGGCGATCCCCTCCTCCGTGTCGTCGTCCGCTGCGCGCTTCTGCCGCCGAGCGTTCGGCTGGCGCGCCCGGCACCACCCGCTGCTCCGGGACCTCCTGCCGCCGCCGCCGCCGAGCCTCGCTCTCTACCGCTCGCCTCTTGCGGGGGAGGTGCTGGCGCTGGTGGCCGACCACGTCGTGCAGGGCCGCGTCGTCTTTCCCGGCGCAGGCTACCTCGAGGCCGCGCGCGCCGCTTGCTCTGCGGGCTTGCCGGCGGGAGCTGGCGTCGCGCTGCGCGGCGTGTTCTTCCTGCAGCCGCTCTCGCTGCAGGGCGACGCGGCGGCCGGTTGGCTGGAGGTGGCGCTGCTGCAGGGGGCGAGGTTCGAGGTGCGGAGCGGCTGTGCTGACGGCGCCGAGGAGAGCACGGTGCACTGCTCCGGGGAGCAGAGCGCCGCTTCGGCGGCGGAGTGGCGGCCTCTCGCCTTGCCGGCGACGCGTGCGGCGTGCAGCTGGCCGATCGACACCGCTCGCTTCTACGCGGCGTTCGCGGCGGTCGGGATTGAGTACGGCGCCGCCTTCCGCACGGTGCGCTCCGCGTGGGCCGGCGTCGGCGAGGCGTCGGCAGGGCTGCGCCGCCGCTCCGAGCTGGCTGGGACTCAGGTGCACCCGGCCGATCTCGACGGCGCGCTGCAGTCGAGCCTTCTTCTGGAGGAGGGCAGCGGCGGCGAGGCGCGGCTGCCGTTCGCGGTGGACGCGGCGCTTCTTGGTGGGCCGGCGCATGGCGCTCTGATCGCTTTGGTCGCATCTGCCGGTGCAGATTCGGTGACGGTAGCGCTGCATGGTGGCGCGTTCGCATGCGGAGCGCGGCTGGGTGGGTTCTCGAGCCGAGTCCTTCGGCAGTCGCGCCTTCAGCCGCAACATAGCCGGCCCTGGTGCTACGAGACCGATTGGACGCTGCTGCCCGCCCCGCGCTGTGCGCCCGACGACACGCGCGTGCTCTTACTCTCTCGCCCCTCCGTCTCGTTGTGGATGGATCCGAACTGCATCGAGGAGGGTGCTGGGAGTTGTCAGCCGCCACAGGTTGTCGTCTACTCGGGCGAAGGCGAGGCGCTGCCAGCGGTGGGGATGGCCCTTGCTTCGGTGCGGGCACAGGCATGGTCCTCCGACCCTGTCCCGGTGTGGCTGGTCACCTTCGGCGCGCCAGCTAGTGCGGGCTGCCGTCCGTGCTGGCACGCGGGTCTCTGGGGCCTCGGGCGTTCGGCCCGGATCGAACTGCCCGCCCTGCCGCTTTGCTGCGTCGGGGTGGACTCTCCCGGCGCACAGGAGCTGGCGGCGCTGGCGTCGCTGCTGAGTGGCGGCCAGCTGAAGTATGACAGCGGCGGAGTGCGTGGCCTGCAACTCAGCGCCACGATCGAGCCCGAGGTTCGTGTCTGCGGCGCACGCCACGGCGTGCCGCGGCTCGTTAGCCGTGCGCCACTGCTCTTGCAGCGAGTCTGTTTGGAGCTAAGCACGCCAGGCGCCGTCTCCAACCTCTGCGTCGTGGAGCAGCAGCCGTTCGACGACGTCCTCCCTCCCACTGCCGTGGAGCTGAGGGTCCGCGCAGTTGGACTCAACTTTCGCGACGTGCTGATCGTGCTCGGCGAGTATCCAGGCAACCCAGGCATGCGCGCTGCCGGCACAGACGTCGCCGGCACGGTGACTGCTAGCGCGGACCAGTCGCTCCCTCTTGGCGCCGCAGCATTTGGGGTGGCGTGGGGCGGCTGCCTTGCAAGCTATGCACGCACGGACCGCCGGCTGCTAGCTTGCAAGCCAGACTGCCTCTCCTTCGAAGCAGCCACGACGCTTCTCTCCAGCTGGGGCACTACCCACATCGGCTTCCGCCGCCTGGGCCTCCGCTTGAAGCAGCGCGCCATGCTGCACGCAGCAGCTGGCGGCGTCGGGCAGTCCGCAGTCGAGTACGCGCACTGGTTGCGCGCCTCTGTGGCCGTGAGCGCTGGTCGGCCCTTCAAGCACCGCCTCCTGCGCGGGATGGCCGTCGCTTGCTGCGCCAGCTCGCGCGACGCCTCGGCGTGCGCCGTTGGAACAGTGGTGCCTCTGCAGGGCCTGCGCCAGCACGCCTCGCTCAACTTCCTCTCTCACGACTTCATCGGCTTGTCCGCGGCGATGCTCTGCGAGCAAGGCGTCTTCGAGGAAATCGGCAAGCGCGGCGTGTGGTCCACCGAGCGCGCAGCCGCCTGCATGGTCGCGCGCTACGACGTGCTCGACATGGCGACTGATGCGGCAGCAGACCCGCTCTGGTACCAGAGGGAAGTCCTTTGCGAGCTCGTCGCTCGCGCAACGGCCGGCACCGCGCGAGGGCTTCCGACGCGCCAGTTCGACTTGGTGCGCGAAGCGCAAGCGGCCTTCCGCTTGCTGCAGAGCGGCCGCAACTTGGGCAAGGTCGTGATGTGTGTGGGGATGCGGCACTCTGGCGCCACCTTTGAGGTGGACTTCGAAGCCGTCAGCGCGCAGCTCTCCGAGCACGTGTCGTCGGCAGTCGGCGCGCTGGACAGCGCCGGCCTCGACTTGGCGTACGACATGCTCGAGCGGCTCTGCCAGCAGTACGTCCACACCGCACTCTCGGCCTTGAAGGAGCAAGCTGTGCCACGCTGGCACCACCGCCTCCTCCTGGAATGGTTTGGGGCGCAGGCGCCGCCTCCGGAGCCGCACGTCACTCCGGACGAGGTGCGAGCCGCGCACGCCGACATCTGGCCGGAGCTCGCGCTGGCTGAGCGGTGCGGGCCGCGCCTCGCCGAGGCGCTCACCGGCGACGTGCCGTACCAGGAGCTTCTCTTCCCCGGGGGGTCGCTGGACATCTGCCGCGACGTGTACGACCAGGGCCAGGTGAATCGCTTCTACAACGAGTGCGTGGTCGCCGCGGTGCGCGCGCTTGTCCGTTCCCTTCCCTTCGGGCGGCTGGTCCGCGTCCTTGAGGTTGGCGCGGGGACGGGCGGGACGGCGAAGAGTGTGCTGCCCTCCCTCCGCCACGCTTGCTCGTGCTACACTTTCACCGACGTCTCCGAGAGCTTTCTCCGGAGAGCGCGCGCCATGTTTGCGGCGGCCTTCCCTTTTGTGGAGTTTGAGCTGCTCAACATCGACGCCGACCCGCGGCTGCAGGGCTTCTCTCCGTCGCAGTACGACCTCCTGATCGGCACCAACGTCCTGCACGCCACCCCGTACATGCACAACACGCTGCGCAACTGCCAGAAGCTTCTGCTGCCTGGCGGGGTCCTGCTCATCAACGACGCGCAGCTGGCCGGTGGGTTCGTGCAAATCACGTTCGGTCTGACGGATGGCTGGTGGCTCTTTAGCGAGTGCGCCGACCCGATGAGGCGCGGCTACCAGAGCCCGCTGATGGACTGGGACACGTGGCGCAGCCTCCTCGGAGAGAGCGGCTTCCAGCGCGTGCACCTGATGCGCGGCGGCGGCTTCCTCTGCAACCAAGCCGTCATGGTCGCTCGGGCCGGGCGAGGCGGCGAGCAGAGGAGCCCCGAGCCCCGCCTCGAGCCGGAGCTGGCGCACCTCTTCACGGGCGGCCTTGGAGGGCTGGGACTGCTCACCTCACGGCTGCTCGTCTCGCTCGGCGCGACGCGGCTTGTTCTCTCGTCGAGGAGCGGCCGCGTCCAGCACGGCAGCGAGGGTGATTGGAAGTGGCTCTCCGAGGACGGCTCCCACTCCGCAGTGGTCACGTGTGTGCAGAGCGACGTCTCCGAGGAGTCCTCCGTGCTGGCGACGCTGCGGGACCTGCATTGGGGGGGCGCGCGGCTCGGAGGCATCTTCCACGCGGCCGGGGTGCTCTCCGACGCTCTGCTCGCCGACCAGGAGGCGTGGCGCTTCCGTGCCGTGTTCGCCCCGAAGGTACATGGCGCCAGCTGCCTGCAGCGCGGGGTGGCGTGCGTCGGACTGCGCCATTTCCTCGTGTACTCGTCGGTGGCGGCTCTGCTCGGCGCCCCTGGCCAGGCGCCGCACTCGGCGGCCAACACCTGGCTTGACAGCTTCACGCACTGGCGCCGCAGCTTGGGCCTGGCCGCTCAGGGCTTGCAGTGGGGCTCGGTTGCCGAGATTGGATACGCCGCTCGCCATGGCGCGGACGCGAAGGCTGAGCGCGTCGGCACGGGAGCGGTCACGCGCGCCGTTGCTTGTGCGGCCTTGCGACACGCGCTCTTCTCAGGGCGCGCCATCGCAGCGGTCTTGCCCGCGGATTGGTCGAAGCTGCTGGGAGGTGGCTTGAGCCCGGCTTTCCTGACGCCGCACCGCCACCGCGGGCGCGCGGCCAAGGCCAAGCCCTCGGGCGCCGAAGTCGAGCGGGCAGCTGCTATTTTGACTCCCAGCGCCTCGGCCGCGGTGACGCTCGAGCTCGTGCTAGAGCTGGCGGAGCGCACGGCGGGCGGGGCGGTCGACGCGGACGCGCCGCTGATGGAGGCGGGGCTCGACTCGCTCGGCGCGGTCGAGCTGCGCAACCAGTTGATGCAGGCCGCCCCGAAGCAAACCAAGGCCCTGCCGAGCACTCTCGTCTTTGACTTCCCAACCGTGCGGCAGCTCGCGCAATTCTTCGCCGACGCGGAGGACGAGACGCGATCGCCGGTCGTTGCGGCCCCGTCGGCTGTGCCGGCGGGTCGCCCAGAGAGCTCAGCGCTCTCTGTAAGTCTGAGCGGCTTGAGCGCAGCCTTGCCTGGCCAGGCGAGCAGCGTTGCCCGGGCGTGGCATGGGTCTGCCATTGGCCGAGACGCCGTCACCGAGGTGCCGGTCGAGCGGTGGGCCTTGCCCGTGGTTGCCGACGAGGTCAACGTGCGGGCAAGGCACGGGGGGTTCGTCTCCGGGGCGGAGCTCTTCGATAACCGCCTTTTTGGCGTGTCGCCCGCTGAGGCGGCTGCGATGGACCCGCAGCAGCGGCTACTGTTGGAGCGTGCGTACGAGGCACTGCTCCGTGGAGTGAGCGATGAGCGCAACAGCTTGGCCGGCGCGGCTGTCGGCGTCTTCCTGGGCATCGCGGCCTTCGACTTCGTCGAGATACTGGCGTCGAGCCCCGCGGGCCAGAGCGTTTACGCCGCAACCGGCAGCTCCCACTCCATCGCGGCGGGTCGCCTCTCGTACGTGCTCGGCCTTCAGGGGCCGTGCGTCAGCTTTGACACGGCATGCTCCTCAGCTCTTGCGGCTGGCCACTCGGCGCTGCGTGCTTTGCAGCTAGGCGAGTGTGCCTCTGCCGCGCTGGAAGCAGTCCACCTCATGCTTCTGCCGATGGTCGGACTGAGCTTTGCAGTGGCCGGCATGACCTCCCCCCGCGGCCGCAGTCACACCTTTGACTCTCGTGCTGACGGCTTCTGCCGCGGTGAGGCGTGCAGTGTCGCGGCCTTGCAAGCGGCGAGCCCATCGACGTCATTGGTGGTGTGCGGCAGCGCCGTCCGTCAAGACGGGAAGAGCGCGAGCCTGACCGCTCCCAACGGTGTGGCGCAGCAGCAGCTCTTGCGCGCCGCTTTGGCAGACGCCGTTACGGACTCCATTGCTCAGCTTGAGACACATGGCACCGGCACGGCGCTCGGTGATCCGATCGAGGCCCGCTCACTAGCGGTCGCACTGCTGGAAACGAGCGCCATGCCGTTGGCACTCGGTGGCGTGAAGGCAAACTGCGGCCACGGCGAGCCCGCTGCAGCGATGACAGGCCTCTTGGTGCTTACAGCTGGTCTCTCTGAGTGGAAGTCACCGCCCAACGCTCAGCTGCGGCAGATCAACCCGCAGGTCGGCGAGGCGTTTGTCGGCAAGGCCTGCCTCCTACCGACGGCGACAGCGGCGGCCGCAACCCACAGTGCCGGATTTGGAGGCGTCTCATCGTTCGGCTACAGCGGCACCATCGCGCACGCGGTGCTCCGTTCGTCGCCGGAGGCAGCAGCGGCGATCCCCTCCTCCGTGTCGTCGTCCGCTGCGCTCTTCTGCCGCCGAGCGTTCGGCTGGCGCGCCCGGCACCACCCGCTGCTCCGGGACCTCCTGCCGCCGCCGCCGCCGAGCCTCGCTCTCTACCGCTCGCCTCTTGCGGGGGAGGTGCTGGCGCTGGTGGCCGACCACGTCGTGCAGGGCCGCGTCGTCTTTCCCGGCGCAGGCTACCTCGAGGCCGCGCGCGCCGCTTGCTCTGCGGGCTTGCCGGCGGGAGCTGGCGTCGCGCTGCGCGGCGTGTTCTTCCTGCAGCCGCTCTCGCTGCAGGGCGACGCGGCGGCCGGTTGGCTGGAGGTGGCGCTGCTGCAGGGGGCGAGGTTCGAGGTGCGGAGCGGCTGTGCTGACGGCGCCGAGGAGAGCACGGTGCACTGCTCCGGGGAGCAGAGCTCCGCTTCGGCGGCGGAGTGGCGGCCTCTCGCCTTGCCGGCGACGCGTGCGGCGTGCAGCTGGCCGATCGACACCGCTCGCTTCTACGCGGCGTTCGCGGCGGTCGGGATTGAGTACGGCGCCGCCTTCCGCACGGTGCGCTCCGCGTGGGCCGGCGTCGGCGAGGCGTCGGCAGGGCTGCGCCGCCGCTCCGAGCTGGCTGGGACTCAGGTGCACCCGGCCGATCTCGACGGCGCGCTGCAGTCGAGCCTTCTTCTGGAGGAGGGCAGCGGCGGCGAGGCGCGGCTGCCGTTCGCGGTGGACGCGGCGCTTTTTGGTGGGCAGGGTCGCGTAGGCACGTGGGCCGTTGTCTCGCACGCCGAGCCGGGCGCGGTCGACGTTCGCTTAGGCAGTCGCAGGGATCGCGCGGCTCAGTTGTCTGGACTCCACAACCGCCAAAGCAAAGGTGTGCGTGCAAAAGCGAGCGCTCCCCGCCGGCGCGACATGTACACCACCGCGTGGCAGCTTGCCGAAGGCAGTGCCACCCCGCAAGAGTCGACGGTCCTTGTCGGCGCCGCTACGTCCCTTCCGCGTGCGGCTGCCTCGCGGCCGACAAGCCGAAAGTGCCTCGCGGTCGACGTGGGTGCTCGACTGTTCTTGATGCCTCTACCTTCGCTCGAATCGCAGCTGTCCCTCTCTGTGCGCATGCGAGCTCACGGCCCCGAGGTCTTCCTGTTTTCAGCAGACCCGTCTCTCGCGGGCGGTGGAGCTCGCTCAGCACCGTTCTCAGGAGTATGGGGAGTCGCACGCTCTGTTCGCCTTGAAGTGCCGGGGGCATTGCTCGGCTGCATGTCTTTTGATGTGCTCACGGCGAGTCTATTGGCGACGAGACCGGCTCTCTCATCCGAGCCTGAGCTCGTGCAAAGGGCGGCGGGCGTCCACGTCCCACGCCTCGCACAAGCGGCGCTATCGCCATCTACGACGCCACGTTTCGCGGGTGCACACCTCCTTACCGGTGGCACCGGCGGGCTCGGCCTGGTGACGGCTGGCTGGGTTGCGTCAAGCGGTGCGTCTGCACTTGTGCTTGCGTCTCGCAGGGGGGCTCTGTCGCAGAGTGCGTCCCAGCTCGTGAACTGTGGCGCCAAGGTGCGGCTCGTCAGCTGCGACGCAGCTGTAGCAGTTGAATTGGCTCAGGTGTTTGCCCAGACAACGAGTGAGGCGCTGCCTCCGCTCCGTGGCGTGTGGCACGCGGCGGGCGTGCTGGCGGACGGCATGCTGCGCTCGCAGACGGCGGCGATGCTGCGCCGCGTGTACGGCGCGAAGGCGCACGGCGCGTGGGCGCTGCAGAGAGGCGCCGCGACGACGCCGCTCCAGTGCTGCGCGCTCTTCTCTTCGGTGGCGGCGCTGCTCGGCAGCGCGGGCCAGGCCAACTACGCGGCGGCCAACAGCTGCCTCGACGCGCTGGCGGGCGCGCGGCGCGGCGCGGCCCTCTCCGGCGTGAGCGTGCAGTGGGGCCCGTGGGCGGAGGTGGGGATGGCGGCTGGCGGCGCGGTGCACGCGCGGCTGCAGGCGGCCGGCTGGGGGCTAATCGGCCGGGCAGAGGGCCTCGCGGCGCTCGGGCTGGCGGTGGGCCCGAGCGCGCCGCCGGTGGTGGCGATGCTGCCGGTGTCGTGGGCGCGCGTGCTGGGCGGCGGCGGGGAGGTGCCCGCCTTCCTGTCCGCCTTCGCGCCTCGCGCCTCGGCCGCCGCGGCCGCCTCCGCATCGCCCTCCGCGCGGCAAGCGGCGCCTCGCGGCGTGGCGCTCGACGAGGTGCTCGCTGCGGTGGCGCGCACGGCGGGCGGGGCGGTCGACGCGGACGCGCCGCTGATGGAGGCGGGGCTCGACTCGCTCGGCGCGGTCGAGCTGCGCAACCAGCTGCAGGTGGCGGCGGGCGAGGGTGCCCCGTCGCTGCCAGCCACGCTCGTCTTCGACTACCCGACGGCGCGGCAGCTCGCAGCACGTCTCCAGCCTCGCCGGTCGGC